AAATTTCCTCCTTTAATTCACCATTCAAGAATGCAGTCTTAACATCCATTTAATGTATTTCTAAATTTTACAACGTTGTAATAGCAAGTAACAATCTAATGGATGTTATTCTTGTTACTGGTGAATATGTATCAAAATAATCTAAACCTTTATTTTGAATGTATCCCTTAGCAATAAGCCTGGCTTTATATTTATCAATTGAACCATCAGGCTTCATATTTCTCTTGAAAATCCACTTTGTTTCTAAAGGTTTAGTATTAGGAGGAAGATCCACCAGCTCCCAAGTATGATTTTGCATAGTGGATTCAATTTCACTATTAATGGCCTCTTCCATAAAGGAGCTTCAGGAGAAGACATAACTTCCTTATAACTTTGTGTCTCATTCTCCAATATATATGTTAGAAAATCAGGACCAAATGACTTAGACGTTCTAGGTCTCTTACTACGTCTAAGTTTATCCTTATTTTTATCATCTATAAACTCTTGGTCTATATCCTCTTGTATATTGCTATTAGCAATATCATGATTTTGTTTAAGAAGATTTTTTTCTTGTACATATTTACAAGGAAATATATCCTCAAAGAAACAAACATTCCTAGACTCAATAATAGTATTGACATAAATGTCAGGAATATCTGATTTATGTACAAGAAAACGATATACACTACTATTATGTGCATAACCTATGAAAAGGCCATCAAAAGTTCTAGGTCCTATCTTAACTTTATTAAGAGTAGGAACTGCAACCTTAGCTAGACAGCCCTACACTTTTAAGAATTTATAAGAAGGTTTTTGACCTTTTCCATAATTCATAAGGTGTTACACTTGTTTTCTTTTAAGGTATTTTATTGAGGACATAATTTGCAGAAAGCAAAACTTACCTTCACAAATTCTGGGTTAAACCAGAACTTATTAACATAGCATTCATCATTTCTTTTAAAGTACGGTTTTTGCGTTTAGCAACACCATTCTATTGAGGTGAATAAGGAGCTGTAGTTTGGTGAATAATACCATGTTCTGAACAAATGTCAGCGAATGGTGCTTCGTATTCACCACCTCTATCACTTCTTAATATCTTTATCTTTTTTCCAAGTTGATTCTCAACCTTATTCTTGTAATGTTTAAACATTTTCAAGGCTTTATCTTTACTTCTTAGTAAATATACATACAGTATCTTGTATAGTCATCAATAAAAGTAACAAAATACTTTTTTCCATTTCTGGTTGGCACAGATTTGAAGTCACAGATATCACTGTGAATTAATGCTAGAGGTTCCATACTTCTCTCTGTGGAGTGAAATGAGGTTCTAGTTAATTTTGCTTTTGCACATGTTTGACACTTCTGATTTAAATCAATAATAAATTTAGGTATAAAATCCATGTTAATTAACCTACGAATTGTATCATAATTAACATGTCCTAACCTACCATGCCACACATTAGATGATTCAATCATGTAAACAAAAACATTAACTTTATTATTAATAATAGCTTGGGGTACAATAGTCATTACATTGAATTTGAACAATCTATCACTTAGGTACCCTTTGTCCATATACACCACATTCTTAGTAAGTACAAACTTATCAGAAACAAAGACCAGCTTGAACCCATTCTTACTTAGAAGTGAACCAGATATCAAGTTCTTCCTGATGTCTGGTATATGCAGCACATTATATAGAGTGACTGTTTTTACCGAGGTCATCATCAACTTTATCTTTCCTTATCCTTCAATCTTGGTAGTAGAAGAGTTCCCCATGTAGAGTTATTCTCCATGTTCTATAGCTTTATAAGTAGAGAACATCATCTTTTCTGAGCAAACATGGCGAGTAACCCCCGTGTCCACCCACCATTCTCTATTGTTGCTCACAAGGTTGATTTCAGAAACCACAATTGAAAGATTTAGCTCTGACATATTAGTTATCAATTTATCTTCCCCAGTGATATGCACCTTAGTGGTCTTCTTCTTGGAGTTATCTTGTGCTTTGCAATTACGACAGTCTTTAGCTCGATGTCCTTGCTTACTGTATATGTAGCACTTCTCGTTGAACCTCTTCTAGTTTCCTTTGCTAGGACCTTGTCCAGAGTGCTTCCTCTTCTTATTTTTCTGCCTAGCTTCCACTACATTTGCCTTTGACACTATTGAAGAATTCCCAGATTTCTTTTCAGATATACGGTTATCTTTTTCAATCTTCAGCCTGACAATTAGGTCTTCGAGCCCCATTTCCTTGCGCTTATGTTTCAAGTAATTTTTTAAATCTTTCCAAGTAGGAGAAATTTTTTCAATAATTAAAGCCACTTGAAAAGATTCACTAAAAGCTATCTTCTTAGAATGTATCTCATGTAGGATTAACTAGAGCTCCTTCACTTGGCTCATAACATTCTTAGAGTCCACCATTTTGAAGTCTAGAAATTGTCCGACCACGAATTTCTTCAAACCAGCATCCTTAGTTTTATATTTCTTCTCTAGTGACTCCCATAGCTTTTTAGCATATACAAACCATAATTCAATATAATATAACAACAATATTTAAATAAAACTACTATAGTAAAATGGAATCCATTTTAAGATTGTTGTCCAAAATGGTATAAGTCTACCATATACTATAGTAATACTATTTAAATATTATGTGAAAATATAATATATATATATATATATAGTTTTTTAAGAAAATATAGTTATATATATAATAAAATAAAACTATATAAAAGAACTTGTTAATCGGTCGAGTTTAGAATTGGATTCTATCAACTTAAGATAGATTCTCCCTGCTATGGTGTTAATGGACTCAGTTGCGTCTATCTCCCAGGATACAACGACCTTTTCTTTCTTCAGTAGCAGCACTGTAAACCGGAGAAATGGGCGAAGCGGCTTGGTAAAGTACTCTCTTTTTGAACCATACTGGAACTGACATACTAACACTATGTGTATACAAATATGGGAGAGGAAAACCCAGAATTAGAGAAGAAGATTTCTGAGTTTGGTGTGATTTGCAAATGGCCCAAGGGGGTACTTATAGGCATGTAAGTGCCTTTTCAGATGACCTGAAAAGCCACGGGACACAATGGTTTAACTTGAACCAACACCAAAGGCACCTATTCAAATGGGGTGCACTGGTTCACACCAGGTGCAACCATTTATAAGCCCACTATATTAATTCCAGTCCAAAAACCCAAGGCCCAGTTCGTGAAGCCCACTAGAGTAATTCCAGCTAGGGGTGCATAAAAAAATTGTGGAACCGAACTGAATCGAACCAGGGCTTCAGTTCTGGTTCCGGTCTCGGTTATGAAAATCTGGAACCGTGGACTTACGATTCGGTTCCGGTTCCAAACCCATGGGAACCGAACCGAACCGAACCGTATATATTCCTTATAAATCTGTTTTATTAGCATGGTAGTGTAGAAAAAAGTAAATTTACTTAGTATAGGCCTATACTTTGCTTCAAGTTCTTGTAGACGTACAGTTGATAGGTTTATCTATTATTTTTGTTACTTCTGTAGATGGGATAGATGGATTGGTCTAATGACTATGAAACATTAGTGATATATTTTGGGGGCCGGGTATAGAATTGATTATTGCTCTTAAATGAATGTCCACGCGTATTATTTGAAGGGGAATACAGTATCTTGTTTAGTGAAGGATATTTATAAGAAAGGTTCATAATTTCTAAGGACCTTTGTTGAGATCTGCAATTGGAACAATAGTTAGGGAACAATAGCAAAAAAGTATATAGTTGGGGAACTATGGAACCGAACCGGATCTGGCTTTAAGGAACCGTTGTGACCGGTTCCTGACGGAACCGAACCGTGTGTAAACCTAATTCCAACCCAAAAAATAAAAATAAAAATAAACAAAACACAAGACCCTATTCAAAAATTCCATTTTTTAAAAAAAATTAATCGGATTTTACAATCTAACCCAAGCCGGGGTGGGGCGGGGCGCGTGTGTGTGGTAAATGGTTTGGACCCAAGCTTGCCTAGGTCCTCCCCTTTTAAAAACTTAGGTGCCCTTGGGCCAAACCCAAATCTCAAACTTGGCTTATTTAAACTCCAATTGGTTTCACTTTATTTTCAATGTGGGACAACCACTTCCCATATTATGCATACCCATTTAAGCTTATTAAATATCTTACTTTGGAGCTAATTTTTCATTTACCCAGAAACGTATTTCATCTCGTTACGGAGAAGAACAAGTTCATTTATAGATCCGTAAAAAATTCTTAATGGGACCTACTTAAAATTTCGCCCAAAGTTTATGTTTTGTATGCTTTTGTATGTTTCGTTTTCAACAGTAATATTATAAAATTTGAATTTTAGTTAATATGTGAAAGAAGAGAAATATGGTTTCCCAATATATTCACAATATGGTTAACTAATATATATATATAGGTGTGTGTGAACAAATAAAAGGAAAGAATTGAAAAAAAAAAAAAAAAAAAATAGATCTAGAGAAGAGAGTGGTGAAACATTGAGAAAGTAAAAGAAAAGAATGAAGGTTATACATGTGTACAAGTAGGATAGAAAATAAATAATATCAACGTGTCGATACCAAACTCCATCTCCTAAAGGAAGGTCTCAAACAATTAAAAAAGAGAGTTAATTATAATTTTTATGATTAATTTTTTAACCAATCAAATATGCCAATGTGAATAGACAAATTGTTTCCGGAATTGCCCTAACACTCCTCTTTAATAGTTGAAGGAGTTATATGTAAATTTTGATAGGGTTTTATGATTTTAACCCTTTAATTAAATGTCGTAAGCACCGACTTAGACAAACTTGTGCCAAACTATCTATACATAAAATAAAATTAATATTACACCGCGCAACGTGTCAAACCGCCATCTATCACCGTCTTGTTCCCCAATCAGCAACACGACACGTGTCAAACTTTAACCGGTTAATCAGGGTTACCGACCGGTGCAGCCGGTCACTCCTATTGCAATTCCCGCTTGCTATATAATCTCTCTCCCTCGCTCTTTCTCTCTCTCTCTCCCCGATTTTACTTCGTCAGAACAGTTCAAGAAACAATTCTCTCTAGCTCACAGTCTAGGTTTGTGGTTGTTATCTTCTCTGTAATTTTTATTATTGGTTTTTATGCTCTTCTTTTAAATTTAATGTCCTGATTAATCTCTTCAACTTCGAAAGTTTCCTTCTCTCTCTTTTTTTTTTTTTTTTTTTTTTTTTTTAATATAATGTTTTTGTATGACATTATTGTCGCTTATTCTTCGATCTTAGAATTAAGTCGCTAGTTAGTTTTGAATTGTTGTTAAGTTATAGCTTATACTGATTTTTGTTGGTATAGATTTTAATTTTTGCATATTCGTTTCAAAAAAGTTATGATCACTTTAAGATTTTTGATGCATGTGAGAAAGTTTAGAATTGATTTGTCTAGTTGATGATTCATGGAATTAATTGCTTAATTGAGTGATTTCTTTGCCACTAAGCTTTCTTAATTTAGAGAAATCTTTGGGTTTGCTGTGTATAAGCTCGTTGCTCTTAGCTAGCTAAATAAAAATTAGGGCTTTGTTAATGAATTAGGGTTCTGTGGTTTTCGAATGGAAAGGATTAGTTTGGGAGTGGACTTTGTGTGTCTAGTTGATTTTTGTTCTGATTTGTGCATTGGGTGCACTGGAAGTAGGTATTTAGAGTCCTTTAAACTAGGTTTTGCAACTGCTTATGCTTCTATTTTATGTTTTTCGATCGATGTTTAGGTCTCTACTATGAATTATTCTAAGGTCACATGGATTAGAAGGCTAATAAGTTACTGAAGAACTTGGGACTTGTGTATTAACAGTTTTCTTGTGGTGATCAGTGAGATTATTCATACAAAGCGCAAGTTCTGACTCTGTATCTGGTTGCAGGAGAAGGTATAATTATATTAGTTTGTGTTCCTTTCGATTTTGGAGTTGTATATTTTGAGGGTTCTCCGATGAGAATAATTGATGTGCTGTAATGAGGCGTTCGGGCTTTTTCTTTTAACATTATAGCCACAAGGTCTGGCTTTGGTGAGCTACTTGGATTCTGGCCACCAGGCGGCTCTGCTGCCTATGATGCCTTCCCAGGAGGTCGGCGGCTTAGCACATTCTTCTTCTAGTTCCGGTATCTTTTTCCAAGGAGATGGGCAGTCCCAGGCTATTGACCACTCTCATTTGAGTTCGTCTTTTGGGAACTCTTCAGATTCGATTCCTGGAACTATATATTCGAACCTGAGCGCGTTTTCTGGAGATGCAAGTAATACAGTCATGAATAGTGTGGCAACCTCAGGGCCAAGTGTTGGGGCGAGCTCTTTAGTTACAGATGCCAACTCAGGACTTTCAGGAGGTCGCCGTCTTCAGAGAAGTGCTAGCATTAATACAGAGTCTTACCTGCGGCTACCTGCATCACCCATGTCGTTCTCATCCAATAATAGAAGCATATCTGGCTCACCAATTTTTGATGGATCCTCTATAATGCAGCAAAGCTCCAATCAGGACCCAAGCTCCCAACAAGTGCAGCAAGGTGCTTCCAGTGCTACGTCCCTTCCTACATCACGAATGGGCCATGTTCCAATTCCCGCTGGCCAACGTGTCCGTGGCTCCTTCATTCAGGAACCCTATAATGTGTCTCAGGTGCAGAAGAAACCCCGGCTGAATGTTAAGCAGGAGCAAGATGATATTCTGCAACAGCAGGTTTTTCAACAGATGCTACAGAGACAGGATTCAATGCAGTTACAGACCCAAAATCCACAGTTACAAGCATTATTTCACCAGCAGAGACTAAGGCAACAGCTTCTGCAGTCAATGCCACCAGTGCAGCGAACCCACTTGCTGCAACAGCAGCAGCAGCAGCAGCAGCTACAGTTGAGACAGCAACTTCAACAACAGGGTGTGCAGCCTTTATCTGCTATGAAACGCCCCTATGATGGTGGTGTATGCTCTCGTCGTCTAATGCAGTTCCTTTATCACCAGCGGCAATGGCCAACTGTGAGTGGATTTCTTTCTGGCTACATCTGGTGTCACTTGTTGTACTAGTTATTTTTATAGCTCCATGTAGAATTTCCTTCTATATTCTTCTTTTTAAGCATATTTGGTCTCTGATCAGTTACATCCTTAATTATGATAATGTTTTTTTTTTTTTTTTTTTTTTTGGTTATATCTGAAACTTGAAAGCTGATCTAATCCTGTCATGGCATTCTTTATCTTAATAGGCCAATACTATTGCCTATTGGAGGAAGTTTGTGGCAGAATATTATTCCCCACGTGCAAAGAAACGGTGGTGCTTGTCGTTATACGATAATGTTGGGCACCATTCACTAGGCGTTTTCCCCCAGGCAACAATGGCAAGTTTTAATGTTGTAATTCTATTATTTTTCTAGATAAGACTATAAATTTGACATTCAACCGATATGGTGTATGCGCATATCTTTCTTCTAATTCACAGCATTTTTATTTTTCTTCTAATTCATATTTCACGTGCATGCCTTTACGCAATGCTTGCATGCATTTAGTGCGTTACTTTGATTCTATGGGTATCTCGTTTTGTAGGTAATTATTATTGTGCATTCCAATGTCTTCCTTTTCTTTCTTCATTTTTTTTTCCTCCCATTAGTTTTCTCTTTACACACCCTAGGTTGGAATTACTACAAGCAAAATTTCTCAGTTGTTGTTTCCTTCCTTTTTGGTCAGGAGGCATGGCAGTGTGATATTTGTGGTTCACAATCTGGAAGGGGATTTGGTAAGTGAATTAGTTGATCATTTATTTATTGCACGTTAACCCTAGGTGTTTTTCTGTTTTTTTTCCCCGATTTTTTGGATGCTTTAAATTTTTTACAATCATATTAAGGGGGAAGCTTTTTTGAGTTGCATTCTGCTCTATCTGTTATTTCATGCATGGGTTAACCTGCAAACCATTCTTTAGTTCTAGTAAGGGGGAGAACTCAAAGGAAAAGAAAAAAAAAAATGAAAAAAACAAAGAAGGTTCTTTAACAGGATTTATCTACCATCTGCAATCCCCACATAGGAAAGATTGATATTGTGGTAAGAACTGCAATTAGGGAGCCAAAAATGGTTCTTAAAGAAGGCAGATGTACAATCTGCTATTCACATATGGGAAATAAATGTCTTCATTTTATAAATTAAAGATTCATCTTTTTGATGATCCGTCGAACTTATTCTCTATTGGAATTGGTTTGGTTTCACTTTGTGGAAGTTCATAGAATTTTTGCAGTATTTTCTGAAGAAGTTAAAATCTAACAATAAGTTTAAATTAAAGGTGACACTTGAGAAATGCATTAGGCATATCTATAGAGACTTGGAATCATTTTTGTGGTTTTTTGAATGATTAATGAAAACTAAAGATGTTTTACTTTATTGTAATTTCATAAGTCATAGGCATACATAAGGCACAAGTAGTGATCAATGGCATGGTCTTAAGATCACTGAGTACATTACATCATGAAAATAGATTTTAAGGACAGTCAGCCATATATATATATATTGTCATAATGTTCTTGATATCGTGATCATTGCTTGGTGCAATGGTAAAGCTTGACCTGTCAAGTGTGGGGATGTGAGTTCGATTTCAAGAGCAGCCAATTGGTGCAAAAATAATGTTAAAGGTTAGCTCTGTCTTCATTGTTTCCCTTTTAGCACTTTGCGTTGGTGAGACCGGTATTCGGTAATGATATTGTTTGATATCCTACATGTTAAATGGTTTGAAGTTTTATTTCAAAATTTTAAAATGCAGTTGTGGTTGGGGTGATGCAGTCTTAGGTTGTAATGGGAGTTATGTAACGGGTATTAGTTGTTGCTGTCGTGAAAATTTCAACACTTAAGGAACATGATTAAAACAAAATGATATGCAAGTTTTAAATCTAGTGTCAATAAAACAATGATTTTAATTATTTAAATAAATTTTATTGAATATTCAGAGGTGGTTTCCTTCGAGGAATGGCCTACAAATTAAAATTTAAGGCGTTGTCATTAGTATCAGGGTAATCATTTGTACTTTTCACTAGATTTGTGGCTAGAAATACATTTTAAAACAAATAAATAAACATGTCATATTCACACAACTCGTACAATAATAACCTAAAAGTTGAAGGTTAGTATACCTGTCGTTGATACATGGAAATCATATACATTAAAGCTAATATACCTTATTTGTTTGCTTCTAATTTTAAATAAAATTTCAATATTTCTCAATAAATGTATATTAATATATGCATAATATCAATTTGTTTATAACTTTATATTATAATATAATAGTAGTAATTTACTTAAAAAATTTAAAAACTTATTGTTAATCTTGAGTTTGGAATACTTGGGACATAAATCAACTGAAAATCTTGATTTTTTCGTGTCTTGTTTTGTAAGTTCTATTGTTTGGTAGAGTGTGGAGTTGGTTTTTTTCTCTACTTTGGGCTTAAGATTTGGAAAGAATGAGACAAGAAGTTAAAAATAGAATTTTTAAACCTAGACCGAAAAATCACGGCCATCTTGACCGAGTCAGGCAAGATTCGACCATATCGGCCGAGGTAGACCAAGTCTTGGTTGAAACATCAGGGATTTCCCGAATCACAGCTGTCTTGGCCGAGACTTAACCAACTCAGGCTGAGATTCGGCCAAGTCTCAGCCTAGGCAACAATGATTTTTATTTTGGCTGAGATCTCGAACTTGACTCTTGCTGAGTCCAACTTGACTCCTGCCCAGTCCAATTGACTCCGTCGAGTCACAGGGTCGGCCCTGGGCATAGGTGACCTAGGCATAGGCGGTCTAGGGCCTCCAATTTGGAAGGGCCTCAAAATTTTAAATTTCCTTATATATGTTGTATTATAATTATTTCCTAATATTTTTGCAAATATAATCAATATAGAAATTTACTACCGTGCCTCAAAAATTAATATCCTAAAATAACTTTTTAATTTCTCTCTTTTCTTTCTCCTCCTCATTCATGTTTTTAAATTAAACTCTAACCAATACAGAAATATTGGGTCCCAAAGATTTATATCCTTAAATGATTTTTATTTATTTTTATTTTTTATCCCTTGCTCTCTCCCCTTCTCATACAGAATTTTAATATTGATCCCAAATATTTATATTCTTAAATAACTTTTTTTTTTTTTTTTTTTCTCTCTCTCTCATTTGGCATTTTTTACAACAGCACTAAATTTTTCTTTTTACCATATTCATTTTCTTGCTTTTTGCTTTTATTTATTTTCTTATTCCTCACATACTTTCTCTCCTCTCTGACATCTCCCTCCTCTATCATTACAAATTTATAGTTCTCTTTCTTCTCCACTCAATACTCATTACTCTCAATTTGAACCCATTTTTATTCTATTAAAAAAATTGTAGGAGCATTGGATTGGGGTTTTTAAATCAGGTTCTATTGTTATTTTTCTGTAATTATTTTTTAGTTTTATTAACTTTTGTTATTATAAATTTGTGTATATATATATATTTCATATATTTGTAAATTTTAACCAAACTTAAATACAATAATCTAATTTGTAATTTTTAATTTCACAAAAGTAAGAGGGGTGATTTTTAAATAAATATTATTTAATATTAATATATTATTAAAAGGTCACTTTTTATTTATTGCCGAAGGCCCCAAATTATTTCGAGCCTCCCTTGATGCTTATCGTTCATTTTAATGAAAAATTCGCACTCTTATAAATAAAAAAAATTCGAGCTGCCCTTGGTGCTTATCGTCGTTCATTTTAATGAAAAATTCGCGCACTTAAATTTTTTGCACGGGTGAAACCTTATATATAAAAGCCTCGCATTTGAAAGTTCGCCTAGGGCCTCTCAAAATTTTGGGAATCTCAGGGCCGGCTTGTCGAGTCAGCCAAGTTTTGAAACTATATGTCATTTGTTTGAATTCGAAAAGTTTTTATGTAATTGGTAATTCAATTTCTGTGTCACCCAAATCGTACTATGGACGTGCTCATATTCTAGTATACTTGTATGTTTACAGTAGTCCTTACCATTTAACAAACACATTTTCTAATTAAAGGTTCGATGACTCGGGCCAAGTTGCTCGGCTTTTAGGGACATGCCAGAACTGGCATTTCTGGTAGAAATCATGATTGTGTTATTGTTTGTTTGTTTTATACAGTTCAAATTCACTGTTTAACAATTTAGTGCCCTGTTAATATAATTTTATATTATTTATTTAGATATCCCTTTTAAGGTTTACTCATTTGTGATCTACATGCTCCACTATTGGTTTTGAGTTCACTTTGTTACTTATTGCAAAATTACACATTAATACAAGGGTAAAGTGCATAATACTCCCCCACTATATACAAAATGTGCAAAGACCCCCCTGTTGTTCGTAAAACCCTCCTACAATCTTCAATTTGTGCAAATACGAATAAATATTCAATTTGGGGCTAATTGAACAATGAAATGACTAAAGTACACTTACAGTATAATATATATAAAAAAAATAGGTAATATATATATATATATAGCACCAGCGAGGTCCAGAAGCTTCAGCGACATGAAGATCGGTGAGGGCCCAGAAGCTTAAGCAACGTGAAGACCGTTGAGTGACCGAAAAGCTTTAGCAAACCGGTGAAGTTTCAGCAAGCTTCAAACATCATGACCACCACAGAGAGAGCATGAAGAGATGACCCAACGGAGAGCATGATATATATATGTGTGTATATACACAGAGTAGAGGCGACGAACAAGTACCCTCAATTGAAGGGGGCTTCACAAGTTTGAAGAGAGAGGCGAAGCAATTGGATTCTGCAATTAGAAATTAGAAAAGGCAGAGTTTCAAATATATATATTCTCGTTTTGATCAGTGATCTTTGTCTCTTTGAAAACTAAAAAAACAAAGAAAACTATATACACATCAAAATTGGTTCTCTTTCCACTCTGTTTCTAGAGAACTGTTTTCAGATTATCATAAACAAACAAGCTCTCTCTCTCTCTCTCTCTCTTCTCTTTTCCTGTTATCACTTGTACAAGAACGGAAGCCCATTCACCAAGTAGGCCTTATACCTTCTGTTGATGGTTTCTTTGTTGATTCAGTTGATAGAATCAAAGACCCACCATGCGCTCCTTCATGCCACAAGTTAAATAGACTAGAGAGGGAGTAATCATATTGAAGAGAGGAGAGAGAGACGTCGGCAATTATGGTAGTCCCGGAAAAAATGAAGCTTTCCCTATACATATACATATATTTTTATGTATAACACTTCATATTTTTATACAGTATATAAAATATTTGGTTATATTTTTTTCCTTTCTTACATCAGCAGTGAGGGCATTTTGGGGTTTTTATAAAAAAAACTTTGTCAAATTGACCATCAGGGGGAAATTTGCTCCAAATGTTGAAAATATAGGGGATTTATAGGCACATAATAAATAGTAGGGGTGGTCTTTGCACATTTTCTATATAGCGGTTTTTTTTTTTGGCACTTTACCCTTAATACGTTAACATTATGTAGTAGTGTTAAAATGATAATTTTTAGTTCGGACTTTTTGTTATATGATGTAGGACAAGAGAGCAGCCTTAAATAGCTAAGAACTCAAAGAATTCAGAGTCTGAAAGTTCAAGAACTAGGGCAGAAATTTGGAGGTTTGATAGTTGAAATGTAGAAAACCAAAGGAGAAGTGGTTGTTAATTAAAATAAACAGAGCTATGGTTCAAAATATTAGTAGAGAGAAAGGATTGAAAACAACAAAAACCTACTGGAATCACACCAACAGGTCCAGGTATCACACCTAGAGAAGGCCTCACACCCTCACAAATTGTGAATTACTCACAAAGAAATCTCATAGATATTTTTATTCATTCCTTGACTGCCTCAGCAAGTTTACATCATACCCTTCTTATAGCAACTTATGACCCTCAGATTACCCCATGATTGAGGTAATCAAAAGTTGACTCTATAGCATAATAAAAGTAATCACTCCGTAATTGAGGTAATCAATATTTGACTCTAGCATAATAAAAGTAATTACTATGGACGGATGTAATTTGATCGAAATTGATGCAAGCTACCATAATTATGCAATTTGACCAAATCCCCCTAATTATGCAAGACTCCAAGTGGAAGCTACCATAATTATGCAATTTGACCAAATCCCCCTAATTATTCAAGACTCCAAGTGGACCCATCGTCTAGCATGTGCCAAATTAAGGTTTGAGCCTTAGAACCCTCCTTGCCACGCCTTTTATATACCTTAAAAGGCTGCTGCCACTGTTCTCTATCATTATATTTTGTACTTGTTGATGACAACAATATTGTGTGCAAAGCTTGTAATATGTTGATTTTGTTTTGCTAATATGAGTCATTTTTTCTTATTAGTTGCATATAGATTCTTAGGGCTATGATCTGGTATCTCCTTTGATCCATAGGTAGTTGACTCTCTTGCAACTCACTGTCGTATAATGTTTATTGGATTTGTTTTTCTATTTTAACTCTTCTCTTTCTTTTTGGTGTACATCTGTTCCAACTCAATTTATCCTTTTTTGTGGGGTGTTGTAAACAGAGGCAACTTTTGAAGTACTCCCAAGACTTAATGAAATCAAATTTGGCAGTGGTGTCATTGATGAGCTTCTATTTTTGGACTTGCCACGTGAATACAGATTCCCTTCTGGAATAATGATGCTGGAGTATGGGAAAGCAGTTCAAGAAAGTGTATATGATCAACTCCGTGTTGTTCGTGAGGGCCAGCTTCGGATCATATTCGCCCCTGATTTGAAGGTTAACAAAATATTATTAAAAGCAGAAGTATTTTCTGTATTTCTTTTTTATTCTATAAAACAACATTTCAGCACTTCTTGCTCATATTTCTTCAGATATTGACTTGGGAGTTCTGTGCAAGGCGCCATGAAGAACTTCTTCCTCGTAGGTTGGTTGCACCACAGGTACAGATTTTGCATTCTTCCAACCTGCTTGAACTTGGTTTAGTTTTACTTAATAATCAATTATTTTTGTTCATCAACTCTTATCAGATAGGTTGCTGTTTCATTAATTTTATTCATATTTGAAGCTTCTTTTATTCAATTGCATATTTTTGGTAAGAAACTGCAATTTGGGAATCAAAACCCAAAACACCAGAGTTACTCCATGTAGGAAGAATTCTTTTAAATGCAAGCAACTGTGAGAGTACAAATAGCTGATGACCACTGAACCAATGGAACCCTTTCCTAGTTTTTCCCAATGAGTTTGGAAATAAACTTGAAAATAAAACTAATTTTCTTTTCCCTCTCATTTGCCATCAGTGGTCGATCAAGACCATCAAGTGCTATGTTATTTGGGGATCTCTCTCATGGTTATTAAAATCTTGATCCGAATCTTATGATCCGCACGATCACACAAAAGCTCCTACGAAGGCAGAATCCCAATGAAATTCTATAGGATCGCAGGAATCATGGGTTCTCAATTCTAATGGCCATAGAATGTTACTTAACTGTTCCATTTTGGTAAGTTAGGACCAAATATCCAAAACTACTGAATTGATGACGGTCTCACAAAAACTCGTACGGAGGTAGAATCCTGATGAAATTCTATAGGATCACAGGAATCATGGGTTGCCGATTCTAATGGCCATAGAATGTTACTTAACTGTTCCGTTTTGGTAAGTTAGGACCAAATATCCAAAATAATAATAATAAATTAAGGTCAAGACCAAATTAAATGCCTATGATATGACAATTATGCACCTTTTTTTTTGTTGTAATTGCGAGACTACAATAATTCTTTAAATTTGTTTTGAACTAGCAATCATTTAAACAATTTATTTTGGCAGCTTGATTCTTCATTTTTTAATAGTATGAGTCCAACATTGTTTCCTTTCCCATTTTTATAAATTCATTTCTTTTTGGTTGGTAATTTTGCTATTATATGTAACAAAAAAGGTGGGCAAAATTTTGTTTCAAAAACAATATGTCGATCCACTGAGTTTATTTGTGTGAGAGAAAAGTGCTCCAAAATTATTAGGGAGAGGTTTTGGAGGTTTTGTGTGTTTTAAATCCTTGTCTTAATTATTTTATATTTTTCATGAGTTTTAGGTGTTTCTCTGTACATTTCAAGAATTGTTTAATGAAGAAATATTTTAGGTATTACCTTTCTGATTTTGTAGAATCTTACCATTCTCAATCCGGTCCTACAATCTGATCTTGAGGCCTTTCGATCCAACAAAGCATCCCGATTTTAATAACCTCGTCCTCTCTCTCTCTCTCTCTCTCTATATATATATATATATATATACACACACATATATACATATATTTATCTTTATATTATATACCCGGATTTTTGGAAACATGAACCTCATGAGTCTAGTGACGTCTAAAATGTGTTGGATGGAGTCTGAAACCCCAATGTTTGTGTGTGTAACTTGGTAATTATTCTGTGTTACATTATGTAAATGTGACGAAAAACAAAAAAATGGAAAAAGAAATATTTGAATGACACAGAGAAACATTAATTAACTCTCAACCTCCCTCCCCCTCCCCCTCCACCGCACCAAACAATTTCAATTGAAATTTGCAATTGTTTCTACAGTGAGCACTGCCTTTTGAGCTGTTCAATTTTTTTTTTTTCTTCCACTTCGTCCTATGAATAAACTTGCTTACTCATTAGGTGGGTGGAATTCGATAGATAAGTTAATAGAAGCAAATAATGTTGAATAATCACTTGGAACAAAGAAAGTGAAACATGGGAATATTGATGATCAAGTGGCGAAATTTTTAACAAAGTTAAGGGTTAGCTTACCAAATTTCTGTGAGTTAAACTTTCTATATGACCATTTTAATGTAAGATCCTTGTATTGCATCTTCCTATCCGGGACTTATTCCCGTTATCTCCAAGTCCTGCTGGAGGTGTTCCTCTAATTCAATGAATGGTTGTATATAATGTGTAATTATTTTAACTTCTTTAAATTAGACAATGGTACAGGCTTTAAACATTGTGACTTGAACTTGTGAAACATACTTCTTTGGCAGGTGAATCAGTTACTGCAGGTTGCTCAGAAATGCCAGAGCACAATTGCTGAAAGTGGATCTGATGGGGTTTCTCAGCAGGATTTACAGGCAAACAGTAATATGTGAGTCTGTTAGATAACAACTTGTTTAGTATTTCAATTTCAGGTTTTTATTTAGGACCTGGTCCTTTTAAATTTTGTTTGGTGAACTTTTATCCCACCTATTTGAGAACTTGTTTGGAACTGTTGGAGTACAAATATTTAGGTTTGCTAGACACGGGTGAAGGTTTGATATCTCATAATTGTAAGTGGAGGTTAGTAAGTTGATGCTTTGCAATCAGTTTTGAAGTAGTAACCTAGTAGCCAGAAGTGAATTCCTTGCTACATGGGAATATAATTCTGAATAGTTGGTTCTTAACATACCCAAAATTCCATATCCTGTTTATTTTTTACCATCTCGGATTAGATTGTAAGAAAATGAATAAAATATGTTCTTGTGCTGATAGAATTCTTCATATGAAGCATGAAGGTTATATTGCAAATAACTGAGCATCTTTTAAAATTAGTTAAAGACTTCTACAAAGCTGACCTGCCATGTTGATTCCCATTATGGTAGGATTCTACTTGTTGCAACTAAAGTAGGGTAAATGTGAACGTGTTTATTTGTTAACAAAATGCTTTGCATTTGCACTGTGAAGTAACATCATTTGTTTCAATTTGTTTAGCAACAGACACCACCCAGAAAGCTAACTCTGGAAAGATCATGCTGGAAATCCTTCTTTTTCTAATATTTTTATAAAGCTATCATTTCTAAACGTCTTTATTCTGATGAGAGCTTCAATTCCCATGTAACAATACTTCTGACTCTTAATAGTTTGGTAGTTTTTGAGGTATATTTAATTTTTATAAGCTTTTTGAATCTGCATCTCAATGTTGAGTCCAGTCCTGAAACCAGATTTCCCATAGTTCCCGAATAGGCTCAATGCGTTCTCAACCTTTGATCTTGTATTCTGATGTATATAAATTCTGATGCCAAGTTTGGTTATGGCACTGATGTGTAACACACAGTTTATTTTATCTCAGGGTTGTGACAGCTGGGCGTCAGCTTGCTAGGACTTTAGAGTTGAACTCACTGAATGACTTGGGATTTTCCAAAAGATATGTCCGGTGTTTGCAGGTATGTTGCTCCCTGTTTCTGCTTCCTATTGGAAATATTGGCCTACTGTTCTAGTTTCTTGTTTGAGATTCCTTATATTTCTCCACACCAACTTGTAACAGATATCTGAGGTTGTTAACAGCATGAAAGACTTGATGGATTTTTGCAAAGCACACAAAGTTGGGCCAATTGGTAACTACTCTTTTGCCTCTCTTTGCCCTTCTCTGGTCCTCTTTGAGCACCTGAATAATTTTTCTGCATACAGTCTTCTACGCTACATGCACTGGGTGTTTACCAGGGGAAATCCTTGGGGATGGCCTGAAGGGGGAGGGAAGAGTTGAACTCCCCTAATAATTTTCTCTTGTGGGGTGGTTGGTCTTTTCTTGGTTCCATTTTCCGGGTTCAATTGTTAGGTCTTGAAATATTTAGTTCAGGGGCGAAAAAAAAAAATCATATGAACTAGCATGGATGTTCATCTTTCTCCATCTAAAATATATATTTTCTTGTTTGCGAAAAATATTTTTGTGCTTTCTGAATGGTAGTTTATTTATTTGTCCAATTGAGTTTATTTATTTTAGGGCTTTAATGTGCCTATAGATTTTTGTGACTCAAATATGTAAGCATCTTTTTGCCTGGATCTGATGCCATTTGCAGATGGCTTGAAAAATTATCCTCGACATGCCAGTACAGCCAAGCTCCAGACGCGGGAGATGGAGCAGCTAGCAGGTATTCAGGGTCTAGCATCCGATCCCAATGCTCTCAATAAGTTAATGGCATTGCATCCGGGAGTAAACAACCAAATGAACAATAACCATCACACGTTTTGTCAAGGAGCTTCAAATGGCTCGGCACAAGCTGCTTTGGCTCCGACTAACTACCAGAATTTGCTGATGAGACAGAACTCCATGAATTCGAGCTCTAATTCATTTCAGCAGGAGGCATTGGCTTCTTTCAATAATTCTAACCAGAATCCATCCTCAACATTTCAAGGACCCACTTCTCTACTGCCAAGAACATTGCAGAATTTACCAGCTACTGGCATGTCAAATTCTCAAATGCCACAGCAACAGCAGCTGCAGCAACGCTCATTAAACAATAATGGCATACTCCAACAGAGCCATTTTCCACAATCTCAAGGCAGCCAGGCTTTACAACAGCATATGATTCAGCAAATGCTGCAGGATATGAACAATAACACAGTTCGTGGGGTGCAACAGCAGTCCCTTTCTGGGCATAATGTGAATGGGAGTGTGGCAAGGGATGGATTAGGGTTTGGAAGCAACAACATCTCGACGGCTTCTGCAGCCTCTGGCAATGGGCCTGGAAGTGTAATTGGTCCCACACCAAGCAGAAGCAACAGTTTCAGAGGTGTTTCAAACAGTGACTCATCTGCAGCTGGTAGCAACAATGGATCCAACCAGAAGGCAGTAGATTTGCCACAGAATTTCCATTTGTCGGAAGGGATGGTTCAGGATATGCCGCATGACTTTACAGAATACGGGTTCTTTAACAGTGATATCGAGGATTACGATTGGAAGGCATGACTAAAATGGTTTGGCCCTTCTATTGGTTTTTGCTAGGTGAGCGTCTTTGCACTTATCATTGTACAGGTCATTTCAACAAATTTCTTATTTTCATTTCTCAGTCTCTGTTTTTCGTTTTTAGTCTCTTTTTTAATTGTGGGGTTTGTTGTGATTTCAAGCACTTCTACCCTGGTAGGTTTTTAGTTCTCCCGTCCCCGAAGCATTTGCAAGTGTAATTTAATGGACATTAGACTCGCGAACAGCTTTGGCTTCTTATGATATGGTATGCACATGCTTCATTCCTCCCTCAGCTTTCACTGCCAAAATAGTTCTGATAACGAAGCCGGTCCGATGCATACTGTATATTCGAGTTTGATCGCTGTAAGCGTGTTTCTTTCCTAGTTATTGCACTGTCTTTTGCTGAGGATAAGAGTCCTATAGGTGAAAGTAGCAACTCTCTTTTATTTTTCAATGCTATAGAAATGTGTACTTTTAGAAGAGAGTAAATAGAGACTAGCAATGGTTATGAGCTTTTTTATTGCATCTTTTCCAAGCTATTATTTTTCTTAAATCATAGGAGTACTTCATTTTCCTTTTAATTAAATTGGAGTGTTTCTTACGCATACAGTTACAGAAATTACAGACCCCGTTATATTTATGTATGAATTTCTGAAAGGACAATACTTGCTTACTCACAGGTGAGTTGAAAATTTATACTCTATGTATGTAGTGCAATGCTAAACTGACAAGTGTCCTTATATTTAAAATAATAAAAAATAAATAATTTGATATCATATAAAAGCAAATGAATCCGAATTAAATTTTAATTCTCTTTCCTCTCATATAGTCTACTTTAGATGTATAAAATTAAATAAAAAGTATATTTTTGATGGTTATATGAGTCTATTTTAGATATACAAAACTAAATAAAACAGTAATTCTACAATACTAAAATGGGTTAGAATTGATTCTGATTCATTTGGGTTTACCTCATATATTTAAAAATTATTTATTTTTTATTATTTTAAATGTAAGGACACTTTGTAGTTTAGCATTGCGACACATGCGTGATGAGTATAAGTTTCTTACTCACCGGTGAGTAGGCAAGTATTGCCCTTTCCGAAATTCAAGTGGGATCAACAATAGCATTCTCAGCTCGTTTGGGGTTGATGTAGCTAGCTGGATGGTTTGTTATGCTTCAATATTTTATTTATTTATTTATTTTTGAATCTTGACTTCCTGTAGTTTGTTGATGGTTTGGTTATGGTATCTACAAAGGTTAAGTGCAAAAAATAAATAAATAAAACTCAAGCTAGGTTTGGAATAGTTCATAGCATATAAGAATTTTTTGATATTGTGTGCTTTGGTACTGTAGCGGTGGAATTAAAGTAAATTTTTTAATTTCTCAAAACAAACATGGTTCCAATTTTTACATAAAATACACCTATAACAAAATAGTTGTCTTGGTATTGACAAAAAATATATAGCATGCCAAATGGGTCCTTAGAATGTGTGTAATTTTTTTACCAATTTTTTTTTTAGTAAAATTCCAAATTACCCTTAATAAAGTGTGTGCATACAAGTGTGTTATTTAGCTTTTAGGGCATTTTGGGTATTTTTGTCTTTAAATTGGGTTTTTTTTTTTTTTTTTTTTTTTTTTTTTTTTTTTGGTGGGGGGGGTGTGGGTGGCGGATTTAGAATTTTCTTTGCATAGAAGTAACCCAACTCTTATTAAACTATTTTCAGTCCAAATTTTCTAATAGTTTCTGAAAGAAGAAATTAAAAACTTGTACATTGAATTGAGTCCTTGAGTCTGGAAGAAGAAAAGAAAATCTACACTACCCAATAGAATTATGATATAAAACAACCACATAATGTGAAAAATACAAAAGCAAAGACAAGCAAATTATTTTTGCTTAAAAAACAAATGGTACTACTAGACCACAAAAAATAGACCTATCTGCTTTCTGCCTCGCACAATCAACTACCTACCAAGTTAACTTCATTACACACACATGTATTGAGATATACAAGTGTCAATGTGGGCATAAAAAAAAAGGATTGAAGCTAAAAACATATAAATCACTATCAACTAAGCTAACTAGTATCAAACCTTCTTTAAACTCTCACCAACCTCACTTGGACAGATCAACACAGAGTCCAAGCTGAGACCACCTTTAGTGTGTGTGCAATCTATTTGTGTCATTGAGAACTTAATCTTTGTAGGTGTGTTCGAGTCCTCAACCGTGAAATCTCCCACATGGTGATGCACCCACTTTCCTGGATCATTCATATAACGCTGGGAAATGGCTTGCTGTCCGTTCGAGGTCGATAGCTGGAACCGGACGGGCTTGATGTCCCAGCCGTGGACCTGCTCGAGGTTACAGGCTCGTCGGCCGAGTCTTTTTGTGGCTCTTCCGAGCTGGAGCCGGAAGAAGAGGCTGTAGGTCGACCTTGCCGGAAATTCGAATTCTATCTCTCCATCTACTTCTAACCACCATATCTGTTGAAGATATGCGATTGTTTGGAATCTAAACATTAGAAAAGGCAAATTTTCAGTCAAGTTGTGTAATGTGTGAGACTAAAAAATTGAGAATTTGTGAGAAAGGCGAATCATATTCATCTTTTAACCACAAAGAAAGGCATATAGCATAGATAAAAGGAATAAAGAAAACTTTGATGACAAAGCGTTTTGATGAACTATAAATGAAATGCATCTTTCATGAGTTATGATATATACTTCGAAAGTCGTATGCATTCGATCACATTTATACAAGTGGGAATGATATCATTATGATAAATGATGTCATGATTACGTCTATCTCGGTCACCCCAAAAAAACAAAACCGAATAGTCCTTTTTAAGTATTTAAGTGAAGACAAAACGTGAATGAGAAATAAGAGAGAAGATATTTATTTATTGGTCCATAAACCCTAGCAAGGGTTGTTTTCACTAGAGTCGTCAACCCAACCTACACGTCCACATCTTTCATAAGTGCAGAACTGTAGTTCTCATACGTTAAGAGAAACACTTGGGTTGGGGTTTATCCTTGGATGACCAACACACTCCACAAAATCGACAAAAAAAAAAAAAAAGAATTTTATTTTCTTAAAAATAGACACAAGTCACACAACTAACAACGACTAATTAAAATGAAATTAAGCCTTCAAAAAAAAAAAAAAAAAAAAAAATATTCTAACCTGGATTCATCGGTTGAGATGTGATTCCAGTACCGTCGATCATTTATACCCGTTATTTTCAATCCCTTCCAAGAAATTGAAACACAAATCCCACCGTCCCTCTTCTCCATCCAAACTTCCTGACAACATACAAGCCAAATCACCCATCAAACACCTAACACAAACCGCCCAAGATTTTTTTTACACTACTCCAAAAACACCAACCCATCAACCAAATTGAAAGATTCATAACACATATATATACATACACTCACATATATGAGTGGAAATATATACATATATGACAAAAGAGGGAGGGGAGGGCCAGGGAGGGGGATGTGAACACCCAAAGAGACACCAACCCTTTAAAGCAGGAGAAGTTCTACAATACCGGGGTACAGTATGATCAGTATCCCAGGTCTTTCAGCTGCTGGATCAATGCTTTTATTTATTTATTTTTTTTAAGCTCTCCAATAAAATAATAATAATAATAATAAAAAAACACCTGTCAACTAATACCACGTTTGTAACTGTTTTAGTTGGGTTTTTTTTTTATATATATACATATATATAAATAAAAAAAAAGGGCAATGTTTTTATTTTTATTATGATTTAAACATATTTCTAACTAAATTTGTTCACAATATTTCAAACTAAAAAAAAATTTAAAATAAATATTTGGATAATTGTAAAAAAAAATGGTATTTACATATTACATATATATATATATATATAATATATTTTAAGAAAAAGAATCTCTCTAAAATTGTTCAAGTTAAACAAGTAAAAATATCGTTTTCTTGTTTCCAACTTTGATTTGTTTTTTTTTTTTTTTTTGGTTTTAAAGTTTCTTTGCAAAATACAACAAATGTTACAAAACACATTTTCGTCATTTATTTTGTTTTTCTCATATTTGATGAAAAAACTCCAAATAAAACAGTTGCCACATGTACGTGTGTATATATATATACACACACATACATGTATTTATGTACCTATAAGACCAAAGAGGAGGGGAGGGGTACTGAGAACACCAAAAACAAAAAAAGATTCAACCCATTAATGCTAGAGAGAGAAAGAGAAAGAGAGAGACACCTTGGTGCCACCATCAAAGCGATTAGGATGACACAACTTGGCATAAATCTCTTTCTTACTTAAACTCTCTGGACTTTCATCGAACACCTTCTTCACAAGAACCTCATAATTTTCAGGCAACTTGGATACCCAAACAAAATCCGCCGACGAAGCTCGTCGAAACGCTCGATTCAAACGCGCCAATTTACAGATCTCCGGAGGGTCCAAACACGTGAGAATCAAAGCCAAACATCTCTCCGGCAAGTCTTCGAAACCCGAATTCAACGAAGTCTGAGCTCCAATACTCTCCACCGCAAAACCAGAAAAACCAGCCCCCATATACAAGAAAAGTAAAGGGTTTGGGGGAGATGATTTTTCAGGAAAGAAATGGAATTTATGAGGGTGAGGATGGTGGCATATGCACCAGTTTGTTGTCGTATAGAGAGAGAAAATGTAGAGAGAGAAAGTAGATGTATCGTGCGCTTTTGAGAAATAGGAGCGTGCGTGGGAATGAACTAATTAACTACTACTACTGTGTGGGAAAAAATGCGCCAATTATTCTTCGGAGTGTGAATGGATATGAGTGCGCATGTTACGCAGCAGACAAAGTTTTAGATGTTGGACAATTTGATACAAGATTAAATGACTAAGATACCCCCGGCACCATGCATAATCTCACACAATTCTCCCCAATGGTCCAAGCCTGAAACTCTACAATACTTCAGGAGTAACGTACTCAGGAGGTTCTTAGCCGTTGAATGTGGTGGTGGGACTTACCTGATAGATGGTCTAACGATTGAGAGGTCTCGGAGTACGGTACCTTAGGGATATTATAAACTTTCTTGTTTTGCACGCGCTTTTACTTTCGTTCTCATTTTGTGTGACTTAAATTTTGTTGCTCTCGAATTCATTCTTAATCCCATTGTGACTTAGTGGACAATCCCATGCATCAATGGTAATTAATTATTCTTTTGAGTTGATATGTTCGTGTATTTGTAGCAAAGGATTGGAGAAAGCAACCAAATACCAATTCTAAATTTGACAAATTCAAAATAATAATAATAATAATAATAATAAATTCATATAAAGGCCAGGTCTCATTTAATCCGGTCTTGAATGAAACCTTTTGCCAATATGAAATTTTATTATATAGTAATAATGAGGTTTGAAAGAAAATCAAATGACTTTGAGACATCTAAAAATAAAAATTCACCATTAAAATGTCTATAAAATGACCATTATTAAATTGGTATGTTTGACAATAAGCTACAATAAAGAGAAGGATAATTAGTAGTAATGTATAAGCTTTTTTTTTTTTTTTTTCTGACCAACTTGATGTGTTCACAACAAACATGGGATCCTCTCGTAGTTGTAAGACATTATTATATTTTAAGATTCAACATGGATGAAATGTCATTGCTTAGTATTGATCTTCTTTAATTGAGGATTAAGGGAGGGTATAGATAGGGTATATATAGACCTAACATGTCATATTATTCACAGGTAAGTGATTAACTTTACCTTTTATAATTATATTCTCATAATTAACAAGTTCAACTTTGATTTCCATACCAAACATTGGCCCGTAATTATAAATAGAGACTTTACATGTATGAGTGTTGATAATCGCGCCACGAGGGCTGTCCGAGTGGCGCCATTTTTGAAAAGTAAGCACACCTGGCCAATATTTATTTGGTGTGCCCGTTGAAGGGACTAAGTATCTTCGAGCTACTTGTCCTGCCACTGGACTCGCTGGCTGAGGAAGGGGTCGCTACCCTTCCTTTCTTGAGAACACGCCCTGCTCTAGTTGGATGGGTCCCTCCTCCCTACTCTTCCGAAGTCGCTTCCTACTGGGGCAATCTCGAGCCTTTCCTCTGTAAACTTCCCATTCTGGCTAGAAGGACCTTGAGATGTAAAGTTAGGATAGCCTTGCAAGGTCAAGAAAGTAGGACCTCGAATAAGACTCATCCTCATTCTAGATTCGGGAATCTGAGGACATGTGGACAGGTGGTTGGGTTCCAAGGTATCGCCTCAGTCGAAGGTTAATACGAGGGGGAAAGGACATTGGGTATCCGAGCTCGAGCTAAGAGTGATAAAAAGTGCATTAATTATGAAAGACATTTGAGAAGATCTGTATTAATTAAGGAGCGCCATTACCTCTTTGGACTGGGGGGCAAAGCATCGTGATCCATCCGTCAACGTCCCATCTGTCAGAGAAGAGACCCTCAAACTCTTGGGTAAAGGGTGGGCTCACCCAAAAGACTGAGAGACGTTGACCGAGGGAGTGAGCACTATAAATAGGGGCATTAATTAGCCTTTAAGGAACAACAACCACCTTAACTACTAGACTTTGTCGAGCTCGAATTCATAGGATACCAAGGTCGGCTTTCCCTTTCTTAATCTTTATCGAGTCCCTCGTATTGCTTGGATCTCCACTTGGATACTGATCTTAGATTTCTTGGCTTATGTGGAACGATTTCCTCATCCTACTAAGAACTATCTTTAACATTTTGGCGACTTCACTTGGGAGGCGTGCTTCACATATGTTAAACGTGCGAAAGATTAGCGTGCGAGATATTAGGCCACCTTCTCAAACTAGCCCCACTCTCTGTGAGGGCTATAATGGGTCCGTAAGTATGCCTGGGTCATATTTGCCCGGAACTAGAATCATCTATCTTGATGCCTTAGTTGAGACTCATAACGCATTGTCGTACAGAATGGAGCAGCTTGAGGGCACCCAGAAGGAGGTGGTGTCCTTACTTTGGGAAATTGTCGACAGAGGAGTGCCTCGGCGAGGTGCAGGTCCAAGCGGTGATTTCTCTGATGGACCTAATGAGGCCAGGTGACCTTAGACAGTCCTCTATGACGTGTGCCCCAGTCATCAGCCGAGGTAAGACATTCCATTGGTCTGTGCAGACGGCCACAGGACACGCCGTCGCGTGCTCGTTGAACCCTCTTCAACACCTCACTCACAACACCAGCGAGATTGAGCACGCCGAGCACCAGTCGAAGGGAGGTAGCCCGAAGGGATAGGAGCTCGGAGGAGTTCGGATGTCAACGAGATTTGATTCAGCAATCGCCTTATATGACTATGGCGGACCTGCAAACGGTATTACGGAACGAGAGGAACATTTTAACTTAGGAATTTTCCCCCGAGCCACCTTATGCGCAGTCCATTGCGTTTCACTCATATCCCCTGGGGTATGTAGCCCCCAAATTCAGCAAGTTTGATAGGAGGAAGGGCAATTCGCGTGAACATGTGGTGCGATTTATAGAGTCCTTGGGACCTTTTAGAAATGACCATATTGTGCGGTTTAGGGAGTTCTCTAAAACCCTAACATACAGTGCTTACAAGTGGTACGCGAATTTGGAATTGGGGTCACTCACCACCTAGAATCAGTTAGCTACATTATTTCACACCAAGTTTTTCCAAGCGGAAGAAAAGGTGACTACCTTATCGTTAACAAAAGAAGTTCAGGGCCTTGGAGAGGATTTGCTCACATATGTCCATAGGTTTCATGACCGGGCGATAGAATGCTACTAAACGTACAAGGAGGAGGCACTGGCCAAGATCTATATACAAGGCATGCAGGAGTCTTACCAGATCCATCTCATTAACTTGAAACTCCAGACCTTCGCAGACTTAATAGAGGCAGCTCGCAATTTGGCAATTAATCTTGCCATCTGCATGCATGGTGCAATGCAAGAGGAGAACCGAGGCAGGTGCAAGCCCCAAGTCACAGCTGCTGACACCATAGTTGTTAAAGGCACCTTGAAAGACTTAAGGCGAGGCATTTTAGCTAGGCAAGCGCCTTTGAGGAAAAGGCGCAGTACAGGCGCGCCTATATGAAAAATTATTTTTTTTACTTTTAGTTTTTATTTGTTTATTACAAAACATATACATGCAAGCAGCAAGTTACAAAGCAAAAAAAAAAAAAAAAAAAAAAAAGCAAAAGGAAAGAAGAGACAGAGAACTAAAGAAGTACGAGACGTCGAGATCTGCGAAATGCGAAGCGCCGAAGCTTGGATCTGCCGGATCTACGTCTCTGCCGGTAAGTTCTTGCTTCTTCTTCTCTTCTTCTCCATTTCTTATCTCCTTCTTCTCTTTTCGGTAATTTTTTTTTTTTTTTTTTTTTTCTCTTTCTCTTTTCTTCTTCTTTTCTTCAGTTCTTCTTCTTCTCTCGACTTTCTCTCTCTCTCTCGTCTAGTCTCTTACTCCTTTAATTTTTTTTTATTCTTCTTTGAGCCGAGTCTAAGACTCTAGGCTCTTCTTTTATTTTTTATTTTTTATTTTTTATTTTTTTTCTATTCTTCTTCTCTCAGCTCTCTCTGCTCTTCTTCTTTTTATTTTATTTTATTTATATATATATATTTTTTTGTGGTTTAAAAGAATTCTATTCTTTTTTATACCTACTATATCCTAACTACTTTTTTTTTGCATTATTAAATCTCAACTAATAAAGAAAGTAATAGTAGGGCTAAAATAAAAGTTCTACTAACTTTTATTTTCTTTTTATTTTTTTCCCTTATTTCTCTTCGCTGTTACAGAGGATGATTTTTTCCTTATTTTCGTTTTAGATATTATAACTCTTCAAAATAGTAATTATAATGTTTGATTGTTTATTTATATATATATATTTTTATCTTTACAGGTTTTCTATTCTTAGTTTGCAGTTTTCAAATGTGATGTTTACAATTTTCTGTTTTCTTGGGTTCAAATGTGATGTTTATTTATATCTAATTTTGTAGATGTTATGTAATTTCATTTTCTCTTGTTGCTATATTACAAAAATTGTTGTTTGCAGATTAGTGTTAGTCATCTATTCTGTGGTGACTGGTGAGGGAAAATTTTATTTATATATATATATATATATTCTGTGCTGAGAAAAAAAAAAATTAATACAAACTTTTGGCATTATATATACAAATACAGTTATCAATTATTAATATTAAAAAAGGGCAAAATCTTTTAAAGAAAATAAAAAATCCTAAATATAAGGTTTGACAACTTGCTCCTCTTATTCTAATTAGCAATAAACCCCATTGAATTCACCCATACATTTCTTATTCACCCCTAGAATAATTTTTATCTGCAAGTGTGTGTATATAAATGTATGTTGTTATACATCTCCTGCCAGCAGCTCGTATCCATCTTTATCTTGATATGTGAGTGTATAGATCATAGAGTACACCATCTTTGTCATTTAGTTGCCTTTTGCATCTTTATATATACTATTGCATCTTTAATACTTTATTAGGTGGGTTTTGTTTTTTTTTTTTTTCAACGTCCGCCTTGCTTCAGTCAGGCGCGCGCCTCACCTTGCGCCTCAGGTTCTAGGAGGCATTTGCGCTTTTGTGCGCCTTGAGCCTTTAACAACTATGACTGACACACCCTCAAACAAGAAGAACGTGGGATCAGCCCGCACTCCTCGGGTGAAGAATCAAGATGAAGTACCTCCCCTATCCCGTGCACTTTAGAGGAAGTGGAAACCATCCTCAGAAAATGGATCCAGCATGGAGATATTAGGTTGTCTGAGGTAACGCGCGAGCCAACCCCTGAGGAAATGGCCT